GCTCGGGCTGGACTCGAACCGCTGTTGCTCAGAGCTCAAACTCTTGAGCGAGCTCTTAACCAACTGAGCCACTCGGCCAGCCCTTAACTTAGAATATTTACCAACTCCAACTCCTTGAAGGATCTTGTACTCCAATTGTTGTCTCCCTGAGACTACAAGAATGCTGAACTCTCCCTATATGTTTGTATCCTCTTTGCTGTAGTTTTGCACTTTACTTCTTATTCTCTTTTAAAACACCATTTAAGAATTGGCAAATGCTTCAAGGGAAAAATGGGTCAGAATGTTGAGATTACTTCTCTGCAATTCCCTTTTTTAAAATCAGGATCTTTATCTCTAAAGTGCTAAATGCTTTCGAATATTTGTCCTCCAATTTTTGTGTCTCCAGTCTCTGAGAATGCTGAAAGCCCCACACCCCTTAAAAACCATCCAATAATTAAGGAGAAAAGCTGCAGATAATGTGGAGAATGCTGAGCTTACATCAATATGTTTTCCTTTTATCTGAGATCTTAACACTTAAAGATTTTTTGCCTTTGCTACACTTTGATGCCTTCCAATCATCTTTTTAAAAGTCTAGCTATTATTATTTCAGTTATCTCAGTGAGAGTATTGGTTTGAACACATGAAACTCCATCATAGTGGGAAACAGAAGTTACTCAGGCATGTGCAATCCAAATATTGGCTTCAGTTAAGACTAAAATAATCCGGACACAGTTTTATTCAGGATCTTTTTACTATTTTACTTTGCCTATTTTTCTTGATTCATATCTTCCTGATTAGGTTTTTTCTTGTCATATTACCCCTTAAGCCTGAGCTAGAGTGCAATCATTAGAGTTCACAGATGAAGAAAACATAAATTGACTTTTTCCCCCTCAACAGAAATTTAAAATAAAACAACCTTCAAATATAAAATAAACATAAGAAATATTTCAATTTTGTTAAAAAATATATCAAATGTAAATTATTTCCAAAAAAAATGTATGCAGCCAGACTCCTGGGTATAGATCCTGGCTCTGCCAGGTACTAGGTAAGCAAGTTATTTAATCTTTCTATGCTTAAGTTTCTTCAGTTTGAAATGTGGAAAAGAATAGTACCTGCACCTCATAGGGTAATTACAGTAAATGATGTAATATATCTACAATACTTAGAACAATGTTCCACATATAGTAAGTGTTCAATGAATGTCGGTTAATGTAAAAGATTATCCAACATCAATGGCAATAGCTATAAAATACATCAGCATATAACTTATGTATACTCATAATAAATACTTATGATTTAGTAGAGATAAGTTTGATTTACTTGGTAAATTGACTTGGACCCATCCACTGCTAGAAAGTTTTGTGATAAACCAAAATTTTTTGTTTTTCTTTTTCCTTTCTTTGCACTTTTTTGGGGGCTTAGCGGAGGCTTTCTATTCTCTTTTAGTGAGAATACAAAGGAACCATTTCTTCCTATTGCTCAGCATTTATTTCCCAATAGTTAAGTCATTCAACATTTATTGAGCACTTATTATGTTCCAGGCTGCGTACCTACTGTAGAGTTGTGAGACGAATGAGATTCCATCCTTTCCCTGAAGGTCTTTGTAGACTTATCAGAGTCAGACAGATAAACAAGAAATGACATACACATTGAGCCATCAACCCTGTGGCAGGGTGTCAGAATTTTATAACAGATTAACTTTATAATCCACACAACAACCTTAGCATGTAGGCACTGAAGCTCAGAGGACGTAAATAACTTGCTCAGATGAGATTTGAATCCAGTGACTCCAGAAGAAAAGATCCACAACCTTCCCACCAGTGTTTTTTGTTTTTGTTTTTGTTTTAGCTGAGCCATCCCGCCACCTGTTGGCAGCTCACGGCTGCTCAGCTCGGGCTGACTCGAACCACTGTTGCTCAGAGCTCAAACTCTTGAGCGAGCTCTTAACCAACTGAGCCACTCAGCCGGCCCCCCACCAGTGTTAAGACAGGGAGACAGCAACATTTCTACCTAGAAACACCGAATAAATGGCTGATTATAGTTGCCTATTCATGACCCAAACCACCTGTTAATTCAGGTATGTGAACCCGAGTCAGAGTGGTTCAGTGGCATTTACCAGTTATTTCCGGCAAAGTGGTCAGACTAATAATAGGCAGCCTTGACATTCATACAGCAAGTGAAAACTATAATGCCGAAGTATTTTTGAATAGGTATTTTTAAATTCAGTGAATCATTTTCACCTAAAAAACGAGTTGTTATTGAAAAAAATAAAATGACACATATTCTCTTCAATGTGATGGGCGGTGATTGGAAAAGACCCTTGTGTATTTCCTGTGATATTATCAATAACATTTGGATTAATTAGCCAAATTTGTAGAAAACTGAGCTTCAAGATCATCATCACAATTTCAGCCCTGAAGGATATTGGTAGCTTCCTTAGCTATAACAGGAATCTCTAATCATAGGTAGTTTGCAAGGGGAAATAAGTGATAGCAGATAGGAAGCATGCTATAGAAAAAGGATTACATGTGTCCACGTTTCATGTTGGTCAGTCCACTGACTATAATGAGTTTAAGCCCAAGTCAGTATATAGTGAAATATACTTAGTCTTAAAAATAATAAAAAAAATTTTTTTAAAGGTGTTAGGTTTTGCTAAATTTCAAATTAATTAAAGCTATGAGTTTTAGGAATTTTTAGAACTGAGAACTTCTTGTTTTGGAGGATGTCACCTATTGGCAAAGAACGGTACTACAGTTTTACTCCATTAGATGCTGAGGCTGCGTGAAGAGGAAGCGTTTAGGCAGACACAGATTTTGGAGTCAGAGAGATGATACAGCAGGCAGCTCAGAGAACATGAGGCCCTGAAAGTCTAGAAGGAAATGCTTTCTCTCCTCTCTTCCCATTCCCCTCATTACTAGGATGTGTATTTCTGAACAAAACCAGAACTATAACTGGAACAAATTGTAAATTTGTGAATTGTGGCTATTGCTGAAATCTGCCCCTGGTGAGACATCCTGGTCCATTTAGATAGAAATTGGATTCAGTGAGCTAACTGTCCTTGTGCAAACAGTAAATTCCCTGCTGTCATTAATTTGAAATTAAAGGGGGGCACATTCATTATGGCACTGCAGTTTTATTTTACTTTTGCAGTGCTATAGCTAATAGCATCAAGAAAATAACTTTTCAAATAAAAATATATCTTTTCTCTCCTTTGGAGCCAAGACAGAAGTAAAGCAAGAGGAAGATGAAATACGAGGATTCTATGGCCAAACGGTTTGAACATTAGTCTTATTGTTCAAGAAGCAATTTCTGACTGTAGAAATGTTATTCTTTTAGAGTGACAAAAATGTAATGTGCCCAGCTGGCTTAGTTTCCATTTATATTTTGCAGTACCCCAGAGCCATTCTTTTTTTTTTAAAGAAGCCAACATAGAAATCTTGCTAATGCTAGCATGGAAAGATCCTTAGGGTTTTTATTTTATTTTTTATTATATTAGCTTCTGGTATACAAAACAACATAATGATTAGACATTTATACCCCTCACAAACCGATAACCCCCACCCCCAAGTCTACTACCCCTCTGACATTGTATATAGCTGTTACAATACCATTGACCATAGTCCCTATGCTGTACTTTACACCCCGTGACTATATGTACATATATATTTAATTATAGTTGACATTCAATATTATTCTATTTCAGCTTCAGGTGTACAGCACAGTGGTCAGGCAGCTACACAGCCTATGAAGTGATCCCCCTGAAAAGTCTAGTACCCATCTGGCACCTTACATAGTCATTACATTAGTGATTATATTCCCCATACTGTATTTCACATCCCTGTGACTATTTTGTGCCTACCAGTTTGTACTTTCTAATCCCTTCACCTTCTCCCCATCCCTACCCCCCTCCCATCTAGGATTTTCGGAAGCAATCTCTTCAGCCTTGCCTTTGCTCCCTTAGCCCTTTGAAGGAGTATATGTTTTCTGAATGTAATTTTCAGTACTTTCCTATGGGTTTTATTTTATTTTGTTTAATTGGCTTCCTGTTAGTTAAGAGGGAGCATGAACTAGAAAATAAGTACGTGTGCAGTTAGAAGTAAGCGAGGGTGGTGACGTTAGAAAACGTGCAGGGCTGTCCTTTTATTCTGCTGCTCTAGGCTTTCCCTGAACTTTGCATTGACAGGACACGTACCCATTTATTCCATGCTGAGCTGCAAAGGGGTGTGGAGAGAACATTTAGGAGCGGAGGATTTGGCGTCTGCATGGTACCCCAAAGCAAAGGTCCAAAAAAGTTATAAGTGTACTCACAGGATGTTTTAAAGTAGCACTGGCTTGAAATTCTTTTGCTTTTCATTCTTGCATAGACATTTTACAGTGCAGGAATTCTGAATTCGTCACCTGATTTCCCCATGTCGCTGGTGTCAGAATTATTAGATTCTCTCATCTGACTCTGAGCCACCACCCACTATGTTTCTTGTTTTTCTTTCCATCGCTAACATGGCTCGGTAACTTGATGTGGATTATTATATCATTTAAAAAACATCTTTACTTCCAACTCCTCTTGAACTTCTGTTTTTTTATCCATGTGCCTACAAATAGATGTAGCTCAGAACACTAACCCTAGGATTTTTCAGTTTCTTTCCTTCTGTTCTACAGGGAGAGACACATGTTTCAGGCTGGTGACAGGGAGACGGATGGAAACTTCAGAGTCGCATGTGTTTTCCTGCAAATAACTGTAAAGAACAGACACCAAAGTCTTGAAGAGGAAAGTTGTAGGCACTCTTGAGTCACAAGTTCGGGGGCTGAGGGAGCTGTCCGTGATGGTTACGGGGTGTATGTGTACACACACACACACACACACACACACACACACACACACACACACACACAAACTCACACACACACACACACTCACATACACACACACCAGAGTGACAGATGACCTATTGAAATAATTTCAGAGCTGTTCTGTGGTTGCTACGACAACCAATGCTCTCTTGGCTTTCATCTGGCCATGTGACAGGGACTTTGACGTCAGCTGGAGGCAGAGTCTGTGGCTGAGTCCACACAGCCAAAGGCCTGTGAGAATCCGGTGGATGCTGGCCGCCGCCGCCACTGCTTCCCCGGGGCTGCAGAGCATGGACTGTTAAATCTTGTACTTCTTCTGTGTGAGGTAATTAGTTTCCTTTCTATACAAACAGATGTTTTATAGAGCATTGTGGTTTTCCCCTCTCTCTTACCTCCTCCAAGTTTGTCTTCATGAACAATTATTGTTGTACCAGGAGAAAAATGTGAAGCGGCTTCTAGTTGCTAATTTTGTTCAGACTCTCTGGGATTTGGTTAAATGTGGATAAATGTTTGTGAAGTAGGTTAAAATACAATCGTCTTTCTTGCTCCACACTTGCTAACATGACATTAGGTAGAGATACGGATTTTGCAGCCTGAGCCAAATATTTCCCATTGAATTCCAGAAATCCTCCCTTCAGTATTGTTTTGGGTTTAAAGACTCCAGCATAGCCTTGCGATATGTTGCTAACTTCGTTTTTTTTTTTTTTTTTACAATTGCTACCCTCTTCTGAATCAGCCCAGAATAGTTTGGAATTTGGTTTCTGTCTTGTTTGCAGCATTCGTAATTAGCAACAGTAGGCACAGCGGGAAAGAACATTATACTTTGAAACAAAAGTTGGGGATTTTCTTGTAAATAGGGTATTCTGAAAATACCAAGGAAAACTTTCAACAGCTTCCTGTTTAGAGAAAAATAATCTAGACTATGCCAAGGGAATTGGGGTGGAACCTCTTCCCTGTGTGCATGCAGTTGCTCTTTGGTTGTTAGAGCAAAGTGCACATTTTCAGTATCTTGCTCTGAAAATTCAGCTGTGAAGAGAATAGCATTGGATGGTCTTCACTAAGGAGTCATGTAAGCTGTCTTTATATATAAAAATTGAAATAATTACTGAGAGAAGAAAACAGTAGCCCTAAAACTAAATTGTCATTGGTAGATCTATTTTAATTCAAACATAGATAGAAATGGTCACTAAAATTTTGCTCCAGATCTTAAATGAATACTTTGTAATTGGTTAATAATGCCTTTTATCTCTTTATTCCTATAACACTATAAAATACAAATTGGTTTATTTGCCTTGTTGTAGTTCATTTCCTTCTCAAATTTAGCAATTTTGAATTTTCTATCATTGCACACATGTTGGATCGTTTTGTAGCTTGCAATTCAAACAAAACCTCTGGTATTGAAGTTAATCAAAGCCTAGATGTATAACCAGGTTTCTAAATCTTACAAATTTAACAGGAAAACAAAAAGGCAAACTTTAGATTAGTACATGTAATATACCTACTATTTTACTGAATAGAAAATAATCGTTTAACTATGTATATGAAGAATATATATTTTATGGTATGTGAATTATGTCTCAATTTAATGTGAGAACATATTGTTCTTATTGTTTATGTTCTTTATTAGCTTCTGAATTCCAATAGCATTTATTTTACTCTGATGATGAGCATTTTGAATAGTATTTGACTTCAGTGATAAGTGCATAATTATGGTGCATCAAGAATTTCTCAATAGCTTTTAATGAGTGAACTTTCATTTAAGTTGCTGGCATTGGATATATCCATTTTTGGCCAGAGTTTCCATGGAGGATTTTCCAAAAAGTCTAATGTGCTTATACTCAAGGTACATATACAAGGCATAATCTCATCATTTAATTTATCTCATAACTCATTGGCCATAGTCTTAAAACCCTTAAAAATACGTTAATTGATTTGCAACATTTCAAATGAGCATGAATAGGATAAGTAGCGCAGTTAGTTATTTGAAAGCACTGTCTTTGATGGAGTACTTTGATGTTTACTTTTTTTACTCAAAATAAGGAATTATCATTATACTTTTCCAAGTAGCTTTCTTGATGCGTTTTCTATGATGTTTTAAATTAACATTATAAAATGATAGTATTCAGTGCCTTTATAAAACAGACTGGATTTTAGCAGTATGAAATATAAGAGAACAATTCAGTGTTGATGGTATAATGTCAGTGATAAAGTTTATCATTAGAAGAAAGCAATCTATGCTATGATAGCAGAGATGTTTTAGAATCTACAGGTCTTTTCTCATGGCAAAATGAGAAAAAAAATTGACTCTCATCAGAATCATCTATGTGCAACAATGAGACTGTTGAATTCAAGGTCAGGTTTGTTTCAGCTTCAAAAAGATGCTAGCAAGGAGTGATTTGCTCTAGAAACCTGGAGGCTGCATTATTAAATGTTTTCTGTATAGTTTTAGGGATTTTTAACCTTTTTGGTGCCATGGACCTCTTTGGCAGCCTGGTGAAGCCTATAGACTCTTCTCAGAATGATGTTGTTAAACGCATAATAAGGTATGCAAGATTACAAAGGGAACCACTTTTACCGAGATACATTAATCAAAATTTTCAAGGTTGTGATATGTGCTTTGTTAATAATTATTAAATAATACAAACTAGCAGCGGGTATCACTACCATAATTTTAAAGTAGTGATGCGTGTAAAAGATATTTCGAGATCTCTATAATGACTATAATGTCATATATGAGAATATCTGTGATTTCTCTTGGTAACAAATTCACAGGTACTGTGGTTTGTGGCCTGCATTTTAATTAAAATAATTGCTAAATTTCCGTTTGAAGTTAGTGAAACTAAAGATGTAATATTTTCCCCATGTAAGTCCCTGGATCCCCTTGAATTCTGTACAGCCCTGAGTTAAATGATGTGTGACCTCATGATGCCAAAAGCTCATAGAACTGCGCTGAACAAAACCCACATCACCATTTCCACATTCAGTTCCACTACATCTGATTTTATTCTCTGAATGTGTGAATTTCACAGTATTTTCTAATTTCTGTGTAAAAAGGGATGATATAGCTGTTTAGCTTCCGAACTGTAGCTTTCTTCTATTTTCCTCCTTGAAATCCATACGCAGTCTTCTGTTACTTGGATTGAGAAACTCTTATGTGGTTAGATAGGGGTTAAGAGGAAAAACTCATAGTGTTGATGCAGGTTATGCAAGTTAAAACCATGGACCATAGAAGTAAGACTATAGCTATTTACAAAGGGACCTTTATCCTCCCAAAGAAAATAAGCAAGTAGTTCTTAGATGAAGAATGCAGGATGTTATATGAGATCATAGCTGAAGGAATACTCTAGAAGGTACTTTGTGTACAACATTTGAAATGAGCCTTAAAGAACTTATGTAACTTCCCAGTTTACTGTACAGCATATACATGCATGAATTGATCAATTGTAATATTAATTCCAGTTACTCAGGAGAGAGCCTGCAGGTTTACCTGTGACGTGGTCCCCAGGACAAAACACATCCAAAATGAAGTCGGGAATGGAGATACTTCCCATGTAATTTGAACTCAGAATCTTATTTGACGTATTATTGCTTATATGCCTTAGTGGGACTATGTCAGTCATTGTCTTATTCCCCGTGTCACATTGAATTTGCAGAAGATACTGCTTAATTTTTCTCTCCAACCAACTAGTAACTTTGCAGTTGGTTGGCTGACATCATGTATCATTGCCTTTCTAGCCCTGCGTTTAGTGTCCAAAGCCATCCTTTCTATTACATCAGCACCCACCATCTCAGCGTGAGAGAATTGGAGCTATGACGTATTGCGCAAGCTGTTGTTTAAACTCAATCCAAATCCCTCGCATTTGAAATGGAAGCTTAGCGATTTTCTTAGTGTGGTCTCTGGGATATTATGAAAGAGGATTTTCTCAAACATTTCTTATTCGTTGGACTGGAAAAGAACACCTGCTTTGGGGGCTTTGATGAAGAAACTTGGAAGAAGTCTAAAATCTTTTACTACAGACTGTACTGTTCGCTTCTTTGATGGCAGGTGTTTGAAATTTTAAGTTCAGAAAAGAATGTGCCATTATTTTTCATGAAATCCACCGTTATTTAAATCGTTCCCCATGATGGAAATCCAACTAGAAATAATAGCATTCCAAAGTATTTTTTTTAATTGTTTCCAAAAGTGATGCCATACAAGTTAGTGCCTATTAAGACTTTGATATAAAAATTATATGATAAATATTTAAATTCACTGGAGCCACATTCTCCAAACTAAAGACAGTCTGTTCTATTTATCTCTGCAGTGAACGTTAGTTTTTTTGGACATCTTTCTATAAATACCTTTAATTAGAGACACAGAATCCCTTTAAAATTTAGTTTACATGAATGTAAATCATAGTCTACGCAACTGCCATTAAAGTTCTATATTTGATTTGCAGGAAATAAATCTCTAGTCTGAAAGATATTCTAGCTGCTGCTTGTCCTAAAGGGATATTTTCTGAATTTTGTCCCAATGATGCAGGAAAACCAAAGACTGAATATGGCTTTTATACAAGGATGAACTTTTTAAAAGATGATTCTAGACTTTCTTTAATGAATTTAAACCCTATCCATTAGAGGTAGATGCTGAGAAAAGTGTTATAGTCGTTGGCTGTCTGCTTAGCTGACTCCCACAGACTTTCTTGTGATTCATACATCTAAAACCACGACCAATTTTGTGATGACCATATTTACAACATCCTTGGAGATAAAATAAAAAATAGCATCTTACAAGTTATCTCATCCTACGCCTTCTCACATCTTACCATGTGTCAAATGCAGCATGGGGTGACATCACTCAACCAGCAAGTATTTATTAACTGGTTACCACATCCTCAGTATTAGAGTAGGCATTTTGGGACCCTCTCTCATGTGATCTCTGGGTGGTCTGTGCCACTGGCACAAAGAGCCCACATTACTTTATTGACGTCTGACTTTTACTTGCCTGAGCTTCAATTCAAACAGTCGGTCTTTCATGCATTCAGTAAGTTTTGAGTACCTACTGTGTGCCGGCGTTGGACTAGACACTAGGGATACTTTGGTGAACAAGATAGACAAGGTCCCCACCATCATGGAACTTACAGTCTAAGGGACCTATGTGTATCACCAGCGAAGGTTTCTCCTTTACAGCTATGCTCGCCAGTGTAGTCAAGAGGAAACTCCTCACTTAAAAGGAAAAAGCAAACTAACATCAAAACAAAAGAGACAAGCAAACAATCTGGGAACTAATAGGTTTACATCAGAGTCAAACCTTAGAGGAGACATTCTTCAGTTGGTGAACAGCCA